ATGAACTGGGATTACTCTGTATTATGTATAAATTTGTCTCCGCTACTAATGTTTTGATAAAATCATCAGTGATAAAATAGTTAAAACATTGATATGGAGTTTCTAGGTGTGATAGACCACCTGAAGCAGTAGAAGTCCCCAAGAAAGTAATTTTATCTGTGTCATACACCAGATTCCTTTTTTTCCAAATCAAGCTTCTTTTGTCAAATGGAAAACTGGATGAAGACTGCAAATTGGATGAAGTTGATGGGTGAGAGGGTTCTTGATCTTCTGTTTCTACAAGAGGAGGATCAATGTCAGCAGTTTCATCCACATCATCCCCATCATCATCATCGTCGTTCTCCTCCTGCAACACTCTTATAACGTCAACAGAATCGCGGTTTTCATCATCGGAATCTTGGTCATCGAGGTCATCTTCTGAGAGCCAACCGCCTTGTAACTTACTAAGATAATCTTCAATATCTCTTTCATTCAAGTTTCCCTAAAAAACAACATAAAATAAACATTTACAAAAAAATGTTTGCCATACATTACAAGTGAAATTACTGCATAGAGATGTAAATTTCCATCACATAGTTTTGAGCAATTTATTCAGTGTTTTTTGTGTTAAATTGTACATAAAACAACAAAAACATGAAAACAAACCTTATTTCCACTCATTTTCACTTTTACTGTATTTTATATATCCGTTTATTTCCATAAAACAAACTAAAATCTCGCTCCTTTTTTCCAGTCACAACATACAGCGGAATGACAAGTTCTAGGCCTGGTAATTGAAAGTGACGTTTGCTATTTTTTAACAACTGAGTTTTGTTGTACGCAATAGTCGCTTAAAATGTTGCCAGCAACAACAAATTTACAGTACAAGGGGTTTGAGTACCTTTTTTTGTTGACTAAATACTATGATTGAAATTTCCCTCACCATGCAAACAAGGGTTAAGGCATTTTTAAATATATTTCGCCTAGAATATATTATAGAACTTTACTTGTCTACAATAATATCTTAAGTTGATATTAACTCCCATTAGTTAGTAGAAGACAAAATGTAATTGAATGTTACTACATATAAAGCGTTAAAATTGAATTTTGTTGAGCTTTATTAGTACTTAGAGATATTTACACATACAATAGGTATATACCTACTCGGATTTACTACGTAGAGGAAAATATATATAGAAAAGTAACCTTTACAACTATTCATATTCAAGTACATTTTACTAATTTAGGCGAGTGCCTTTTATTACATTTATGAGAGACTTAACTGTCAGTAGATAGATATATACATATGTATATTAGATTACATTTAGTAATTTCTATACGTCATGGAGATATATAAGTTTGAACGTCAGTTTGCAATTCTGTCAGTTTTATTGTTCTTAAAATTACTATTGATAATTATATAAGGAATAAAATTTCTTTAAATATAGGCGACTGTACGAAATAGATCACTTGATTTGAACACAAAATATGGTGTACTTAATACTAAATAGTTTATATACATATGCATGATTTTTATATATAGCGATGAATATATTTTTTATCTTTCGACCGCCGTCATACAGTATCTGTATAGGGTTGGCGGTCAGATCACATATCTACATACATTTAGTACATTATAATATTGCTCAGTTTAAATTATGAATTATTATGATTCGAATAAAATTATTCGCAAATAAAAAAAATCGAATTCGAAAATGTGATTACAACCGAAGTAGAATTAAATAAATAATTAACTAGGCGTTTTAAACTTAAATCTATATATATGTATATATATTATATTCCCGTCTAAATAGTTGCAAAAAAAATCATCTGGCAACATTCGGCATGGAGCAGCTGATAGGAAATGTGGCAACACAGATGTAAGTGATCGATAAAGTTTGGGCTCAAAAGGACTTGTATCCAGAGCCGTAAAACATAATAAATTAAGAAAAGTGATCAACATAAATAAACGGAGGAACTAAATGCATATAGAAAAAGCTACATCAATAGTTTGTAATTATTTTTTTTTTGCGTATCAGTATCACGTCTATCACTATGAAATCACTATTATGAACCATATTCTATTATATTTAGAGATTATTTAGACTACATATTATTTTGTGAAATATATTTTACATAAAGAAATGTTGACTGGAAACAGGTCTATGTAAGAAGTGTATATTGATATAATATTTTAAACTATATTTTAACTAGTTGCAATAAAATTTGTTTATACCTTTATACATTTTATTAAAACACTGTCTTTATTGGACTAGAGAAAGGTATACATTTTTGTCTATTGTTTAGTTGGGACAATAGACATAATAATTTTAAAATAGAAATTCGTAAGCAACAAATTTTAGTTTAAAACATTTTCTCGTTCCAAGAACATTTTTTTTGTATGTGTCAACCCATAACCGAGTTTAGAGGCTGTGCCTCGACCCGTATTTTTTTAAATACAGTTGGTGTCATTATACTTTAGAAGATAATATATTTTTATACTCTTAGAGACAACTGTTTGAGCAGAAAACTAATTGATATTACAACAAATCGTCACTTTTATGTCTAGCACGTATTTCCAAAAGCTACTGTAATATATTAACTATCACAGTTTTACAATCCGTACAGTTGGGCAACATACGAAAAACAAATTATGTGTAGGACAATAACGTGTGCTGCGGTCTGTTGCTATTAAGCTTGCTTGAGTTAGGTATATCTATATATAATAAACCGCATAAAGCTGCTGATATACAGTCACTCAGATGCCAGGTTGCCTTAATGTTACATTCCTATGCATTCCGATTAGCAAATTTCCAAAGAGAGTGTGGCATAAGAACCAAATACACCAACCAGGCAACGTGACAGTTAACCGGCTGTATGCCAGCAGCCTAATAAGACAATTTGTGAATACTAAAATAAATTAGTTAATAACAACTGAATACCGATAATTATCGATATCAGTATCATCATACTGCAAGCAGTATATTGTGGGTGATATATTAGGAGTTCTCTAATAACTGACTCATTGAAACTTTCTCGAATTGGATAATAAAGAAAAATTATTTATTAAATAAATTATCATGAGTATTACTTTTAATTTTGGAAAATTACTAAGTCTTATTACAATGACATCCAATATGAGACAAGCATAGTCAACAATTCTGAAGCCTTATAACAGACGTAAACGTAACGTTATTGTCCAACATCAAACGCGTTGCGCTACTGTAATAAAGATATTGTAATACTGTGTCTTTATAGTTCGTATCGAGACCAAACCCAACCTTAAGCTATATTAATATTTCAAATATTTTCACTTCCAATTAAATTGAACCACACAAATCAATAAAACTTAAACTACTACTACTAATATAGTACAACGTCTTTGCAGCGAATTAATCCTGGTTTGTAACAGATGGATTTTTACAAGAAAAAGAAACCAGTTCAAGCATAGTGTTTAGTACAGTGAAATGCGTAACGCCTTAATCCTTTGGATTATATATTAAAATTATTTTTCAATCACATAATTTATTATTATTCGGACTTGTGGTAACATGTTTTTTTATACAAGCAACGTGTAACAAAAATAATCTTTATTATGTAGTACAAAATGATGTTGCTTCCGCTCTCTGTTCTCTTATCTTTTAAACTACGTAACGGATTTTAATGTAGTTTTCATAGAGTGATTCAATAGGAAGGTTTATATGTATAATACATTTACACCCGTGCGAAGCCGGGGCGAATAGCTAATGTATTATAAAACAATTTAGCTTTTTATAAATTTTGTCTACTGTTTTCAGTCAAACACAATTTTAGTCTATTATAATGTCAGTACATTAATTTGAAATACACTTATATTTTACAATAGAAAGGAAATAATCGTTCGTACATAATTTGTCAGCACGACTTACAATTACAATTTAAACTCTATATATGACGAACATAAGAATCAATTTCCAGAATCATTGCGTTAATTTTGTTACACATTGCGTATTACAATTTAAAGCCAGCACTTTACTGTAACTGTACTGAGTAATAAGGGCTATTCTCCTAAGCCGACGCCAGGCATATTTTCAAACACACAAATAAAGTTGAAATATGCACTGAGAACATGTAAGTTTGTACAAACATTTGAATTTTAACATACCGTGTCCATTCTGTGCACACAGAGGCGCGTTCAATATTCAGCACTCTCCATTTTCCAGGTACACTCTTACTTGCTCCACATATGCGTTGAAAATATATGTTCAAACGTTTGATGGTATGCCTGGTGGCGGGACGACATAACAGTGGTGTGTTACATGCAGCCCGTCGACACTCCCTACACAAAAACAAATATACTAAATTAGCGGTTACATTTTTGCTTTGATAAAATTGTTCGTAACATGTTATGTACAAAATCGTAAGTAATTTTGTAATATATGCAATAGGGGATAAAATTGTAAAATTAATCAAATTTTGAAAATAGACTTAATGTATAAATGAATATGGTACTTAGACAGCGTCATTTAGCTAAGTAGAACTTAACTTAAAACGTATCAGGTAAAACGTCTATTATTATAATAGGCAAAATTATGACTATTATAGTTAAATACCTTTATCGGACATGTATTCCATCACATTACAGCCAGCTGACATTCAAAATAGCATTTGGCATATTTTGGAGCGAGAGGAACTTCGTGCTAACAGCTGACATATAATGCACCGGGCTACGCGGTCAGCTATTTTGAGCGGCGCTCCTCGCAGTCGCCGTCGTACGAGTGACTGCTCAGCTAGAGTAACGTCACGCCGGCGAGGTTGAGCAGCGCCTCGGCCGTGCGAGGACCGTACCTGGGCGGCGGGCGGCGGCTAGCTGGGCGCGGGCGCGGGCGCGGGCGCCACGCCGGCGAGGTTGAGCAGCGCCTCGGCCGTGCGGGGACCGTACCTGGGCGGCGGGCGGCGGCTAGCTGGGCGCGGGCGCCACGCCGGCGAGGTTGAGCAGCGCCTCGGCCGTGCGGGGACCGTACCTGGGCGGCGGGCGGCGGCTAGCTGGGCGCGGGCGCGGGCGCGGGCGCCACGCCGGCGAGGTTGAGCAGCGCCTCGGCCGTGCGGCGTTCCTCGCAGCCGCCGCTGTATGAGTGCTCGTCGCGGGCGCACCGCGAGATCACAAGGTGCGCCGCAGGAGGGAGCTGCCGGCGAACACGATATATCTTTATTTTATCGCAACCATCACCCTATTGATGTTATGTGTAGTTTAAGTTAAATTACGTTCTTTATATCTCAGAATTTTTTTAAAAGAGAGAAATATACGTTCACTTCAAGATCTCCTCTTATTTATATCAAGAATTAAAAAATCTAACTTATGCATGTTACAAATACAAAATGTTAAAGAGTGAGATGAGGCTAAAATGTAGGTCAACCTATGTGACATGTTGTAAGCCGATGCACGCACCTGATCGAGCACGGCGGGCCCGTACTTCATGGCGAGCACGGTGGCGGCGGCCAGGTACTCCTCCGCGCCGGGCTCGGGCCGCGCCTCGCCGGCCAGCCGCCGCGCCAGGAACGGGAACAGCGCCGGGTCCGGCGCGCCCTTGCCGGCCTCCGCGCCGTCCGCCGCCGCCGCCGGCTCCGCGCCCTCCGGCCCGTCCGCCGGGGCCGGGATCGGCTGCCGCCCGAAAGCCTGCACCGTACCGTACTTATTGCCTTACTTCTTTTCAACGCATTTATTCGCAATTATAGACAAAATCGGTCCGGATACACGTATCGAGCAAAATTTAAAAAATTACGACTATTTTAGTCTATTTATATTAAAGAGCAATTATACTATTTTTATTCTTATACTTTAAAAAAAAATGGTATAACATATAAGCTAAAAAAGAAACTAAGACAACGACACAAAGGAGAATTTAATAAATTAAATATTTAAGCGAGGAATTTCCAAGCATTGCATGGATTCACAGTGCGGATGCCAGGTTAGTTAGTGTAGCAGAAAGGAAAACTCTGAGCAGTTCCCAAGACTTGTGACGTATATATAGCTTTATTAATTGTTGTTGTTTCATTAGCAAAAGTACTTGGTAATAATAATGATTTCTTTATTTGTTAGTATATGGTATATTTACTAACTTACTGCAATATAAATAATAGAGTTATTTTCGCATTTATATAGGGATATTATTAAGGATAAATTACTCACCTGTAACAATGAGGAGCGGTGTTGAGGATCTACGGTCCACAGGGAACCTTTACCAAGACCCGGCGCGGCTGCCACCTGTTAACAATGTCCAATGTGGTCAGACAACATGATCAACAAGTTTCTCACCAAAATAAACACAACCCTAGAAGATCATGTTAAATTCCTGGTGAATTTGTCAGGATGGGCTAACTAAGCTAACCTCAAGTTCATTTGTCAATAAAAAATAAATACATTTTGCATGTAGGTGGATTTTTGGCTAATTATTTTCTTCATGTGTTTGTCTTTTTTAGGGTAAAATTTATTTATCAATTCATATTTATAAAACATTTATTCATGTAGGATATTTTAGCAAGGGACAAAAATAATAATACAAATAACTTATGCAAGTTATATTATTATTTTTGAGCCTATTATCCAGTTAAGGTGCAATTTAAAAATAGTACGAAAAATATATTGAACTAAAAACCCATCCATCTACAACCATATAAGAACTAACCTTGTGGAAGCACTTATTCAGCGACAGATTATGTCGCACGCTGTTCTTCCAGCCCTGCGGCGCGTTCTTGAAGTATGGGAAATGTCGAACGATCCAGGCATAGATTTCCTTCACGGGCAGAGCTCGGGTCGGAGCAGCTTCTATTGCCATGAAGATCAGGCAGGAGAATGAGTAAGGGGGTTTGGTGTGTGTGGCCACTGCAGGGGGCGACGGGGGGGCTTTGCACGGAGTGGGGGGCGGGGACGGGAGCCGAGCTATGGGAGGTGGGGTCCTTGATGGGTCCGATTGCTGAAAATAGATAATGAATTATGTAATTATTTTTAGTCATGTATTTATTTTTGTTTATTACGTGTGCCACCTACACTTTTCTCTATCCACTCAAAAGTAGCCTGGAAGAGATTGCTTAGCGACCAAACCGCCTTTTATGTCAGTTAATGCATATTTTCTATTTTTTGTTTTGTTCTGTAATTGGTGCAATAAAGAGTATAATGTATACTAATACTATAAAGCTGAAGAGTTTGTTTGTTTGAACGCGCTAATTTCAGGAACTACTGATTCGAATTGAAACATTGTTTTTGTGTTGGATAGTCCATTTGACGACAAAGGCTTTAAGCTATATAATATTACGCTTCGACAAATAGGAGTATCATTTTTCAATGCAGCTCGTATTGAAAAAAAGGCGTAGATATAGCGGTGCATAAACCGGCAAGAAAAAAGAGATTTTATTCCATGTTACGTTGGTTGAAAATTAAGATTAAATGTTTATTAAAATGAGGTCAACTGTAGTTTCGCTCTCAGGTTTATAGTACGCTGAATAAACAACATTGGTTACACGGTTAACACTTGTTTAAACAAGTAACATTGTCATGGTATGGACCAGTGTTTCCCAACCTTTATAGTGCCATGTCCCACTTTAGCCTTTCTAAAATTCTTATATGTATATAACATACATAATTTGTATTATAAACAAAATATTGTTTACTTAAGAAACTTAAATAATAGGTTTTAGGAAGAAATCAGTAGGAAATTGTTAATGAACGTAAGTAAGTAAGGAAATTTTCAAAACATAATACAAAATTGAAATTCACATTCCAATTATTTTAATAAAAAGTCCATTTTGGAATGAATTAAATGAGATTTCCCTCCCCACCCCCTGTGGGGCATGGGCCCCACGTTGGCAAACACTGGAATCGACAAATATAATTTACATAAATGTATACACCAATGTTTTCTTTGTGACTTACACAAACTTTATATTCCACACATTCTTTTAATTTCTATACAGATACTACTACGAATAGTAACTTTGCCGAGTATTGTATTTTTTTAAGGATCATAATGGAATAGTGCATCCGCCTGCACTTACGTTTTACGCTGGCGGGGCACCAATGGAGGATGATAAGATGAGCATAAGGTCAGGTCAGTTAGCCCATCGTTACAAATTTATCAAGAATTTATGAGGATAGTTTCCAGGACAAACCGCGTGGGGTCAACCTGACATGGTACATTGCTAGCGATCTGATAATCAGTCGACATTACTAACAATCCCCTTTCTCCCCAGTATTGTATATATATTCCGCTAGGCTCTGGGCTGAAGCGAAATACGCGGTGACACTTAGATATATCAAATTTCGTGAATAGTACAGATAACACAGGATAACAAAATGGACTTTCATTTTTGTTGTATCAAGTTTTTCTACTGACTAATTTGGGTGATTTCGAATAAACCATCTAATCTAATCTATAGCAGATTTTAAGTTGGGATATGTTCACTTCGACCAAGGCCGGTTAGACCGCTATTGTTAGAAATGATTAACTACTCATGCAAATTCTAGACGGCACCTGTATCGCACTAACTAGAGCTGCTACAAAATATCTGAGGGTAGACAGAGTAGTAGAAAAACCTCATGCAATAAAAAACAAGGTCAATATTGTTATCCTGTGTAATCATCACATTCCGCTGTATGTTCGCTTAGATATTTAATATTAGGCAAGTAATTTTAATGCGGTTTTTAGCAATGGATAGTATTTCAAGCGAAGGTTTACATGTATCAGGGTACCTAGTATTACATAAATAAAAATTACAAATATGAGTAAATTTTAATTTTAATTAATTTTTTTAAAAGAAGATAAGTGGAAAGAAAAGGAGAGCAATAGCTAGAACAGTTTAATTGAATGTATACTCTTTATTGCGCTAGACTTTGAAAACAATTAAAATAATAAGATTGCATAAACCGATACAAAAGGCGGCCTTATCGCTAGGCAATCTCTTCCAGACTACCTTTGGGTAGAGAGATTAACATTAAGATAAGAAAAGGGTAGGTGGTGCACTTAATAAACACAAATATATGTATGTACATATATATATTTGTATATAAATATATCTATTAAAATATAAACATACATATACTGAATAGTGCACACGTGATCTTCAGAAATAATGAAGGGAACCATGCGACTAAGAGGAGAATATGAATTTAAAGGGAAAGAAAATGGGGATTTTATAGAGACTTTGATTTGATACTCCGAATGCAGGGGGGGGGGGGGGGTCCATAACCTGACAGCTTGGACAGAAAATAATTTAGGTTAATTTATCGAGGCGGAGGTAGTTTACAAAATGGTTAAAGAGAAATTTTCAACAGATAAATTTTCTTAAAAGCTATACATACACACATACATACCTTTATCACTATATGTTGGCCAATCATTTTCGGATCCTCCAAATCACCTTTTGTAAGATTTATACCTATAACAACAAACATAAGGTAATTAATCACATTGTCCAACTAGACAATTATTTCTTCTTCGTACGTCTGAACGTTAATTCTTGAAAGAGTGGTCGTGGCTTTTATGATGGTAGGTATATCTTCGTTGTGCTCTTTGGTGACAGAGCATCTTGCAAATTATTGCAGCAACATTATTATTATAAATATTAAATAAACAGAACTAGTTTGACAAATAGTGGAAACCATCATGATAAATTCCTGGTGAATTTACCACGATGGGCTAATTGACCTGACCATTGACTGACTGACTGATCATGTTCATCTTCTACGGGGGGTGAAGGGGATTGTTAGTAAAGTGGTCAGTTGACCATATTGTCAACAATGTACCATGTCATGTTGACCTCCACCCGGTTCCCCCTGGAATCCATCATGATAAATTCCTGATGAATATGTCATGATGGGCTAACTAACCTGACCTCATGCTCATCTTATCATCCGCCACTGGTGCTCCACCAACGTAAACCGTTAGCGCAAGCGTCTGCATCATACCATTATCACCCGTAAAAAATATGTCATAAGTACCTCTTAATAAATTCCTATCTTGTAACCAACTGAGGCTGGTGAGGTCGTCGTCGTGTTCGGTGGGGGGTAGGTTGCCTGCGTTACCACCACATGCCACCCTAAAACAAATCAGTGTACAATTAAAATACAACATAAATTATATTAACATATTAAATACAATACTATTTCTACTGGGGAATAGCTTGTTAGGACACAATAATTAATGATAATGCAATAGTGTAATTGACAATTAAAATATATATTATGATAAATAATATTATTAAAGTATAAAAACAATTGCATGCTTACATACAATTAAGGTAATTAAACAGGTGGACAAACAAATTATAGATAGATAGATAGATTACAACATACAACATTAGTTAAGAAGAGGCACAAACAATATATCAAAGTAGTATAACTTTGGACCACTTAAAATTACGGCGTTGCCCTGTTAGGAGCAAACCTAATGCTGCCTCTTGTATTAATTGGTTTGGTATAGTTTTTAACAATAATAAAAAATCTGACTAATATTATAAACGCGAAAGTTTGCATGGATGGATGGATGTTTGTTACTCTTTCACACAAAAACTACGGAACGAATTTTGATGAAACTTTAGACTAATATGGTTTATATATACATCAGAATAATATATAGGCTATAATTTAAAAATATATTATGTACATTAGGCGATGTATAATGATAAATGTCAAGTAAACGACAGATGAAGTTGCACAGGTCGGATAGTTGACAATAAAATATTGGCTTCGGTCGGATTCGAACTTACAACTTTTTGGCTCTATGCTTATACAACTAGGCCATGAACGCTCTCTTCTAAACGTCTCAATTAGACGTTAAATAGCCAAAACCTCATTATCATTTAAGAAGACATCACAAAAAACTATTTGATAACTTCCGCATTTTTTGAGGTCGGCTGACATACATGAGCAGTTGTGTATCTACTCAAATTTAACGAGCGATAGGTTGATCAATCAATGACAGTGTTTGGCGTCGCTGATAAAATATTGTTTATCATTTGCTAGGTTAGTAAGACAACGTGGATGTTATCAAACCCACTGTTACCGACTTGATAGTAGCGAGATTACAACGTTACGAAGCTTAGCGCCAGTCTATTATTATACTATCTATATTGTGTCCATCTATATGAGATACGAATAGATATAAAGGGCATAGGAATGTTTAAAAAAATCGATAAACTAAAAGTAGAGATGCCGCAAAACACGTGAATACCGAGTAGACTTTTTATGCAATATTTATTAATTCTTATAATGCCGTAGGTATGACATTTTTCACCAGCAGACCTCTGTTATAAATATAAATACTTATTATTACATATTCTCCTTGTAAAGCTTTTACCATAAAACTTTCAGATATCTCTTAAGTCATCATGCTTACTATCTCATCTTCACTAGGATATATCTATCATATTAAATTTTATTAAAATTAAACAATTTCTCGATTTTTTCAGTGCCTCATCTCGATCTGATGTGATGTGTCGATTTCTCGGTTTTTCTCGACAATATACCTATGTTCGGAGGCATAATATATAAGTCCTCGGAATGGCAACGCTTAACTCACCTCACCACGGGAATTCACGGGAGTCATATGTTGCTGTGATGTATATAGGCTACGTTGCTTCTTACCATGAGGTGACCGTCCGCTTATTCATAGTTCTAATTACAAATAAAATACTAATAAATTCCTCGCAGACAAAAAAGGTAACTGATAACATACACATCAAAGTTCAATACTCGTTTTATTATCTACATTTATTATAGCTTTGTAGTAGATACTGACCCAGATCGTATTTTTTTTTTCGAAAAACAAGGTTTGTTACGTAAACGTGATGGCCAAGTGGTTTACAACCCGATGCAAAGGTCGCAAGTTTTAATCTGGGCAAAATTATTCTACTATACTAATTTTTACCTACACTCTGGTAACGGAAACGACGACAACAAACCAAATTATGAGAGTGTTGGTTCGCCTCATGTCATGTTGAATTTAAATATACCGAGCAAATGCAAGTCAAAGTTTAGGATCATGATTACGATGGTGGCAATCAAGCCTACGGCCCATTTGATGGTCAACGGTTACTGTAGCCTATGGACGCCTAAAACCCTTAAGCTGGTGACAATGCCTCTAAGTTATCCCGTCTGGAATAAGTCTTGAAGCAAATTTTTTGCCCCTGGACAATTCACACAATGTCACCTAATTTTAACACCCGCGACGCAACTCGTGCGTTGTCATTTCCGGGTACTAAAATGCCTCGTTTCTTCATGCCTCTTCTTCACTGTAAAATTTGGACCCACCTCATAGTAAACGCTAACGCTTACTATCAGGTCTGTGGCATTTTACAATTATATATAAAAAATCACTTAAGCCGGTTGCGGCACATCTTACGCCGAAGTCGATCTCGTCAATAATATTAAAGTTGTCTATGACCCGGCCGGATACCTCAAGGCATCTGAGTGACTGTCTACTGGACGCCACATGCCGTATGAGTCGCCGGGGCAGAGGGAAAGAGGCGCCACTCGTACCACACACCGAGAGCTTAAAAAATCACTTACGTCGGTTGTGGCACTTTCAAGTCGGACTCATCGGAGGCCTCGTCGATGCCATCAAGTTGTCTATGACCCGGCCGGAGACCTCTAGACGCTGGAGTGAGCGTCCACTTGACGCCACAAACCAGATGGGACGCCGAGGCAGCGGGTGAGACGCACCACGCACCGAGAGCATAAAAATCACTTACGCCGGTTGTGGCACTTCCAAATCGGACTCGTCAAGGTCTCGTCATTGTCACCAAAGTTGTCTATGAGCCGATCTGAGATCTCAAGACGCTTTAGCGAGCGTCAACTCGACACCACATACCGCACGATATACCGTATGAGCCGAGGAGGTAGCGGCAGACTCGCACACACCACACGCAGTGTACACAATAAAAATCACTTACGCCGGTTGTGGCACTTCCAAGTCGGACTCGTCGGACGCCTCGTCGATGTCATCAAAGTTGTCTATGACCCGGCCGGAGACTTCTAGACGCCTGAGCGAGCGTCCACTCGACGCCACATGTCGCGCTATCTGCCGGATGAGTCGCCGGGGCAGAGGGAGAGACGCGCGCGCACCACGCGCCGGGGACCCGCCACGCTCACCGCGCATTGGTGCCATCTGATTACAAATTACAAGATCACATCTTTATTATTGTTTTTATACTAGCTGACCCGGCAAACGTTTTGTAATATAAATTAATAAAAAAAAATATATGTTGTATATGTTTTTAATGTCGATTCATAAAAAAAATGTCAAGAATATTAAAAGATCTTTTTGGGGTAAGCCACACGTTATCACTTAGGGGTGTAAAAATACATAATAACCTATACACAGATCTACAGAGTATACATATAAAATTTCATCAAAATTGAAACTAACACTGTGACACGAGAATTTTATAGAATAGATCTAGCTTTTACCCGCAGCTTGGGTTTTTGAGTAGTTCTCTACATCTTTAAAATACCTCTTCACCCTCTATTAAGAGCAGTTTCAATAAAACAAACATACATATTTTAATTAAATAGAAAACAATAAAAAGTTAAAAACAATAAAAACCAAAACAAATAGGACATTATGCATATTATAATATAAAGACGAAAGTGTGTCTGTTTATTTATTACAGCTGGACGCATGTTAATAAAGTTTGATATGAACATAAATTGCATAATTTCAATTATTTAGATAATTTGTCTTGTTCTCTTGTGTGCTAAATTGATTTTACTGTAAGTTAATAAACTGTATTACATGTATGTATGTGTGTGCATAGTCACAGATAACATAATACTAGTAGCATAGCCTTATTAAACTGATAGTAAGAGTCAAGATAAATTTTCTTATCGTGTGTACTTCGAATAACAACGGGACATGTTACATAGGTAAGTATATCTAATGTATATTTCTATTATAATAAACACAATTCATATGTTCATAAAACAGGATAAACAGGACAGGTTTAATCATAGTTATAAATGAAAATGTATGAATAAATAAACAATTTTGTTGGCTTAAAAGCGTACGTTATGGACCTAGTTTATACCGAGGAAACTAGCGCGATGGTTAACACCTCACCACTGTAGCGTTATGTATGATGTGATTATAAACGCCACAAGTTTGTGAGGATGAATGGATGGATGGATGGATGTTTATTACCCTTACACGCAAAAACTGCTAAACGGATTTTTACGAAACTAAACACATAGGCTATAAATTTCATACGAGTGAAGCCGCGGGCACAGCTAGTGTCTATGATAAAATGAAGTGGTAAATTCGCCGCACGGTACAAATATTTGTATTCACAAGTATGATTAATTGTATTGGTCTGGACGTTTCTATGTACATTATGTATTTACAAAAAAAATGTATTGAAATAATTGTATCAGTTGCCTGTTTTTGTGTAACACAAACTCTGCTTAGGTTGGGACTGCATGGCGGTGTATTAAAAATATTATAGTTTAATTTTGTACAAACGATCTAAGAATGTTAAGAATAGCAAAAGATAAAATAGTTGGGTTTCTAATACCAATTGACTATTTAAAAAAACAGTAATCTTCGATGCGATATATCTCGTGCCGGGTGTCACAAGTGTACATATATGACCTTGGCATAGTAACAAAACTAATAAAACGAGCAAAGAGCGTCACGCACTTTTTAAAATTGTTTTTATGAGCTAAAGTGAATTGATCTTATCGTATTTTTGCATTACTAAATAAAGATACCGTTTCAAGAAATGGAACCCTAAAATAGGGTGGAAAAAATTAATTTATCCGTATCAGAGTTCTTAAACTTAATAAATAATTTAATCTACTTCAACAAATTACTAGACTTTATAAAAAGTCGTACGTAAACAGAACATTTATGTATGTATATAATGGATAAACCATAAGAACCAGCTAGCTTCGAAGTTAATGTATACAAATAACTGTGCATCTAGACATAGCCATATCCCCTAAATGACCATAAGATCACATAATCAGTTCATTATCATCTGTAATATACTATAGTCTCAACCGACGACATAATATTATTACCGGCAACACTGATTATAGCTGGAAAGATTGCAGATGAAAATGAAATAAAAAGAAAATAAAAAAATATATATCATGGATAAAAAAATCCACTAAATTTTAAATGTTCTTTCAACTATAAACAGCTAGTAACATAGACCGTTCATTGCGAGCCGTACGATACAGTCAGTAAATTATAATATTCATTTCTTACTTTATAAGTAACAAGGATATAGCTGTTTACATTTCTTATTAGTAAAATTCCAAATTACACGTAGCGTGTGACACAGATTCATTGTTGTATGCGTTACGGACGGACGTACTGACGGAATATATTTTTCAAACGAGTTTTCCTTGATTGCTATGAGGGGAGATGACGCAGAGATTTATTGAACCCGCGCAACTTCGTTTGCGTCACTTCTCTCGGTTTTTGCTACATTTTTCATTGCAGCTCCGCTGCTATTGGTCGTAGCGTGATGTTCTATAGCCTCCTTCCTCGATAAATAGGCTATCCAATATTGAAAGAGTTTTCAAAATCGATTCAGTACATTACCCTCTACAACTGCACAAACTTTACTCTTTTCTTTATATCAGTATAAACGATCTAAGGCTGCAACTTCATACCCGTAGAACTGTTTTGTTTGTAAACACATTAGAATAAACAAACATAAAACTTTAAGTGAAGTTTACCTCTATACATTAATGAAGTATGTAGCTAATTCGGATGAACCGTTACCGAGATCAGCGCGTACAAACAAACAAAGAATGTAATTGTCTCGGATTCTATTACGTTGATAAAGTTCCCCAATAAGTATTTCTCAGTTATCTTCCATGTAGGATAGCGAGCAGTTTCTTTTTTAATGATTATTTAGGTATGGTCATGTAATATATATAAAAATAGTGTTTGTATACTAACAGCTCATGAAAAAACAATTCGTTTTAGAACTTCTCGTCTCTTCTCTTAGTGAAGCTATCTATTATTCTAAAAAAAAAAGATAGAAAATTCCGTAGTCTGAGTTCAAACTACATAGTTTACAAATGAACCTACATGTCGACCCACAGATAAGATTATTAAACGGTAATAAACTAATGCAAGAGTACATAAGAAATTATATCGGTCAAAAGCCCAAAGTCGAGATAGGGTTCCTTACCCATGTTAATGTAGCAGTATCTGAGAATCTGATAAATTATATAAAAAAGGAATATTTTAAAATAAGATTATCTCTATGACAGTATTATTTTTATTGATGGGTTTGAGCTATTGTTAGGTGCTTTAGATCAGTACCACTACAAACTACATAAATCTATTTTGCAAAGTTACGCTACCTAGACCTGACGGGTCAAGAGTTGAAGGTTATTTATGAGCAATGGTGTATCTCCTCAGGATAGAATGTATACTTTCCAAAGAAGATATTTTGGTTTATGTATGAGTGGGCCACAACCATATAGGATGTTTAATGGCATTTCCTCTTCAACTTGGCAAAATCTGCAGATTTTTGTTGGACACAGGCCCAAGTTTGCCATGTGCTTATTCAGTTTACAGTGTCAGTGTGTATGAGGGCCATGTTGGATATACTGCTTTTAGTCCATAGCAATATTTTATTAGAGTAGCCTGTAATTAGGGCTTTTGAATGGACTAATCCTATGTACTAATGTAGAATATTCTGCTAGTAAGAAGTCATCAGATTGGTCAAAGGTATTGTCAATTGTTACCACTATAATTAATGTGACATATGACTTGACCACATTTTACTGAGTCTATTTGAATACAATACAGCAAGCAAACTCACTGCATCCAAGTGTCTGACAGATTTATTTGAATTATTAATATTTTATTAATTGCCATTCACATTATAGTCATTATAAAACATATGCTACTGGAATGGTAAACAAGCTGGCAGTCTACCAGATTATGACAGTGACTCCTCTTCTCCCCCTCTATGTCATTTTTTTATTTTGTTATTCTTGTGCACACAAAATTGTATTAAACGTGGATTTAGGGCCTCAAGAACTGAACTATAGAACTATCAATTTAAATGTTTTATGCATATTTGCATGAAATAGGAAAAACATTAGAGAAAATATAATGTAATGGTAATGTTGTATTTCTTGAGGTATTTACATAAATTAAAATAATATATTTCGATAAACAAGGTGTCATTACAACATTAGGTATTGTTTTGTTTGTAATATCATATATTTGATTAATATTATGAGTATATAAACTTTACAACATACACAGCATTCACTATTTATTCAACACACAAGTTTTAAGTTACATAAAAAAAAATCAGTATTGCAATATGCATATTATAAATGGCATATGATTTTGGGATGAATTACCATGAGATTAAGGATGAACTCATGACCATTTGCAACAGCTTTGAAATAGCATTCATTTTTATTTTTATACCAATACCAATGCAATGGTTGTAATATGTTGTATAAATAATTTGTATGACTGTAAACAACAATGAAAATTGTTTAAACAAACAAAACAAAATCTAAAAATTGTAATAAACATGAACATAAAGGTAAATATTTTAAGATAATAAGATGAATAATAATTACATGCATAAATAAATAATATATACATCTGTTAAAAACACAACAGTCAAAGAATGAACAATTATAATTGAACTGAAGGTAAATAAAAGCAAGAAACAGGAAATTATCAAGAGTTGATTAGCATATTTTAGAAATTATACAGGAAATTAGTAACTGGGTCACACAAAATTCTAGGTGTTATTTTTAGTTGCAGAATTTAAATACATAATGTTGTGCCAAGGAACTTGAACTGGAGATGATTCAGTGAAATATATATTTTATTGTTCAATTAGTGCTTAGAGGAAGGATATTGAACAATTATTTCTACGAACCCACCAAGGTTGGCCTGGAATCCCAAACAATATTTAATAATGTTTTATTTATATTATTATTAATAATAATAACAGGTATATTATTTATATTCATACTAAATGTGAAAAAAGCTAAGTTACACCTATTTACATAAACTATTATGATATATATACATGCAGCTTTATCTAATATATACAATTCATAATGTATGATATCTACCTAAGCATATCTTTATAATGTTCATAAAAACTATGCAGTCACATATCCAATATATATATAATAAAACTAACTTTTACTGTATCTATCCTATTGCACTTTAGGAATCATTTGTAATTATTAAAATAAGTGTTTATTCATGACTACAAAAAACTAATCATTATAATAAAATATATTTGATAATGTAACAAACCCTGCAGTTATTGATTAGAGTGCATATTACAATATATAGCACTGTGAGAAAATAGATAAATAAAAACAAAATTTACCAAGTTTGATTGACCAAAGTCCAGGCAGGAGTTACCTTACAATTGAGCATATAATTATTATGGATATAATATGTTATGGATTTTACTCCCTAGCAACAGGAGTACTCAAATACTATCACATAGTGGTGATGTAATAGTCACCGTGTTTTTGTGTTCATTGGGTCACTAGTGGCATCAACAGTGTGTTGCTAGGAAACTGCTGAAGGGGAATGGAATCGGCAACGCAACGACCGCGTGCGCGATTGCGTCGTGCGTCGTGCTTGAGACGTGGAAGCGTGCGCGTGCAAGTTCAAGTTGCACGTGTTGACTCGCAATAAAAAGGGCTGTTACATAATTGTAGGGACGGTCTCGGACACACGCCGAAGATGCCACACTGCGTTGACTTATAGCTGTTCCATATTTAGAAGGAGCGACAACTAATGCGCTCTGACGGTTCTAAGTGTGTCTAGTCACATTTTTAGAACGGCATGTAAACGATACTTGACGCATCACTCAAATAGGGGCGACCAAGTGGAGTGCATGACTTTTTTAACAATATTTTGCAGTATAAAACCAAAATGCGTATTGGCAATCGTACTTTGAAACAGGGCAATAGTTTAGTTCGTCGATAAAACATTAAAAAAAGAGTGGTATATAACATTAACGAAGCAGACTCACCTTTTAGACGTGTTGATTGTACAAGACAATAATAACTTATATAGTTACAATAATAAACACCATTCCTCAACTTGGTACTTGCAATTGCAATCACAAATTAGCACGCAACAAACACCTTTTCGACACCCAAACCAACCCATAAACAAAGAGGAACCTACATAAATAAACATATGATTTGATAACCGGACACCACTCTATTATTGTCTATTTATCATCATGACATAAAGGTACAAGTAGACTACAATACCTTTCTAAGTAAGATTTTTTCATTATTTAATTGGGCAATAGCAAATATTCATTAGACATTTTTTTTAATTTAATCAACTTATAAGTAAAACAATACGTCTAATAATGTCTTTTTCTTGAGTTTAGTTTTGTTCATATTCATTCTCTAAGAACGAGACACGCTACTTAGTCGGTTGTCTCTTTCTACGAAGTTATTTGATGAATATGTAAATAGTAACTCGAAATAGAAGACCAAAATAAAATTATACATTTAGTAATATAATTTCTGTCAATTCGAAATAAATTAATGAAATATACCAGATTTGTAAAATAATTACTAATCTCTTAGTAATCATAGAGGAAGAATCATATGGTAATCATTTAAATTTTTTTCTTATTTCATCTGGCAATTACGTCTATCACTACAATTGACTGAACTGACCAAAAAGAAGAAAACACGTTAAACTTGACGTGGACTAAAGTATCTGGATCATACATTTTAGCTAAATATTAATATAGAATTTACATGCTGTATCTTCTTAAGTGAGAAAAGAATAGCTCTAATAAAACTTATAAATGTTTACTTCTTGAAACAACATGCTGAAGAATCCTGTAAGTCCATACTTTCTCTTAAAACATTAGATCTTTATCAACCTATTTTCCGGAGTAGCTGTTTTTCATTTATTAATTTTGTTATATTTACTTCACAGAAAATGTATGCTGCGTTGTGCGTGGTATTGTTACCATTACTTTTAAGTCAAAAAACCGATGCGGCTGCGGTAATATCAATAGATTTGGGGTCAGAATGGATGAAGATTGGTATCGTGTCACCGGGCGTTCCGATGGAAATAGTTTTGAATAAAGAATCCAAGAGAAAGACTCCGGCAGTAGTAGCATTCAGGGATGATGTGCGGACTTTTGGGGAGGACGCCGTGACCGTTGGAGTACGATTCCCCAAAAATTCTTACAAGTATTTATTGGATCTGCTTGGGAAGACGTATGACCATCCCTTTGTGCAAGCTTACAAGTAAGTTTATATTACTCTTAAAATTAATCTGTTTTAAGTAGCATATTGGACAGTTATTTTTCCATATTTACTACAAGTTATTAATTACATTTATTTTTTTCAGAAACTTTTGTATCAGTAATTATTACTTTTCATTATTGGAAGTAAAAAGCATATTCTATATATATACTGATAATATGAAACATATAAATAGCATAACAATCATAGTTTTTTTGGATTGAAGTTGTTTATCAATATTAATCTTCCAATCATAGTTTTTCTAATGTTATCTTGTTTTATCATAGCATCATGCTGTAGCAAACTAGGAATTTACTAAAACTTATTCCTTATTTAAATATTGTTTTAATTAAGATATTTACTTTTTTTTTATCACAGAATCTTTCATTTCATAATATTTAAATTTAGTTACATCAATATGTTTCATTTAAATTCCTAGGTACTTATGAGTATGTACTTACATACAAAGAAAAATATATGTATTCTGATTTGGCTATTGTTAATTTACATATATGGTGATAGATAAATTTTAAAATGATTACCTTTTAAACAGTGAAAGATTTTTCTAATATTTGTATAGGTTCAAGAAATAACTGTTCACATACACACAAGCTCAAACTTAGTGTTATTTCTTTCCAGGGAACGTTACCCATATTACAATATAGTTGCCACAGATCGTGGTACACCAGAGTTTATTCACGATGAAAATACAAGGTTCACACCAGAAGAACTCATAGCACAACTCCTGGCCAAAGCTAAGGAGTTTGCTGAAATTAGTCATGGTGAGTGTCTTGAAAATTTACTTAAAATAGTACTTACTAACTGTGCCTGTGACTTTGTCTAAATGGAATAGTAACCTGGACCAAATAAAGAAAAATATCTAATAAAACCTAAAAAAAAACCTGCAACTTTTTTTTGCAACATTTTAGCTTAAAAAATGATGAATGCCTATACAAACTTCCATTTTAAATGCAAAAGTAACTTTGTTTGTCTATCTGTCTGTAAAGCATTCATGCCAGAACTACTGAACAGATTTAAATGAAATTTGGTACACAGTCTAGACCCTGAGAAAGAAGATAGAAGCTTATATTTAATATGAAGAAAGATGTAAGGTGCTGAAAGGGGAGATGAATGGTTGTATGGAAGTATCAACATTTTTAAAACCAGGACCTTGAAACATATTTAGGTTATTGATTAAATTTAAATAAGTAGTTTATTAAAGTAATTATATGTATGTCTTCTTTTTAAAATAATTAGCCTAGATGTTTAAAAGTCACAGGAACATCTAATTTACAATTTGTTAATTCTGTACTTAAATTTAAATTTATATATAGTTATTTATAAATTATATAGTTTGTTTAAGTTATAGTTATTTAAAGGTTCTTAAGGTGTGAAGATTTTTTTCGAAATAATTTTTATCTTTAATGCTAATTAAACATGAACTTGAACAGATGTAATTGCTATTATTCAAATTAAAATTCAAAAATCAAAATATCTTTATTCATGTAGGTCTATTACAGACTCTTATGATATGTCAAATGTACTATTAGTTCGGAATGATTTCGAGATGAGAAGAACTGACAAGAAACTCAGCTCATATTTTTTTTAATAGAAGTACTACTTAGAGTTTGGCAACAAAATAATTGAAATTCTTTTGTTTGATCCAATTAATTTAATGGTTATATGGCTCACAGTGTACATTGAAGTTATTGATTTTATGTCAAGGGCCACTCCAGTATTATTACTTTAATCATCATATGTAGAACAACTATTGATAATGAAATTTCATAAAAAACCTTTAAAAATTCTGTTTAATAATGTATCTTTATCAAGCTCTATCAAGTTTCCTATGATGTAGTTACTGAGAGTAAATTGTTTTTATTTCCCACATCTCTTGCTTCATTCAGTTCTGAGGATATAACTCCTCCACCAAATCTAATGTGATATTATAGTAGGGGTACCCTCATGGTTAATTTATTTATATCTTCTTTATTGCACTATTTAATTGAAGATCTATTCTCTCAAATGAATTTAAAAATGAATCTGTATTATTATAAACATGTATAAGCTTATTTAAAAAGATATATACCAGCTCAGTTTCTTTTCAGTTCTTCTCAGCTCAAAAGTACTTTAAATTGATGGTAGATTTGTCATTTCTTAGGATTCTGTAACAGACTCCATGAATAAAGATGATTTGATTTTATTTGATACCAATTGTACAATAATAATAATATTTTTATGTATTTGCTTAAAAAACACAGTATAAAAGATGATAATTAAAGCTTAGTATCATGTGTTTTGCCATAGTAATGGCATGCAAAAATAGTATTGTTTAAAACTATACAGAATTGCGAGCTTAATGCCATAGGCATTCTCTATCAGCTAACCATTGGCTAATTTCTGGTGATCTTACCATGATGGGCTAACTGACCTGACTTCATGCTCGTCACTATTGTACTCAAATGGCATCACTACAGCGTATATGATTATAGTAAACGGGTACTGTACAGAATTTAATGATTATTGATTGAAGATCGCGAACTAAACTTCAAATGTTATTGTCAATACAGGCCAACAAATAAGTGAATGTGTGATCACGGTTCCTGGTTACTTCAATCAGGTAGAACGCCGCGCGTTACTGGAGGCCGCATCTCTGGCTGGGCTCAATGTACTCCAACTGATAAATGATTATACCGCCATAGCTATTAATTATGGAATATTCAGGAGAAAGGTAAGTTTAACAGTAATAATTTATTACTTGGTCTGGGGTGTAAATTGATACTTCACCATGAAGTAATCTTTGGGGAGAGTATAGTGTTTTTGTCATAGCAAGTGTGCAATGCACACATACACAGTAGAAGTACATTCATATTACATTTACAGCAGTCTTTTACATCCTAGATGAAACTCCTGAGTTTTATTCACTACACTACAAACCCCTACACTACAGAACATGTAGCAGTGGTCATGATTCATACCACTACCATTGTGCTACTGTAAAAAAAAACTCAGATATGACAGCTGATAGGGATCAGTGGCAGAAAAGCCGATATACTGCGCCGACCCCAAATATTGGGATAAAGGCAAGGCAATGATGAAGATGTGATGTAGAATTACTTGTATTTTTAGGAAATTAATGAAACTGCCTGGCATACACTATTCTTTGACATGGGCGCTGCTTCCACTAAAGCGGCCTTAGTTGAGTATAAAACCGTGAAGACAAAGGAGAAGGGATATGTAGAGACTGTGCCACAGCTGCAGGTCTTGGGCGTGGGCTTTGATCGGTAAGTTTGTCTTTCACTCAGGCCTTATATGGTTTAGTGTCTTATACTATCGCACTACCAAATCTATAGGATTTATCTAGATATATATAAAATATATATACTTACTACACTATACTTACTTAGTATTTAAATGTAACTTTCAAATAATATTTTAAAGGTTATTTGTAAATCATGTTTTTCATATGTTGTTTTTTTCAATAGTTTATATGCTGAGGTTTAGGATAGAAACAATATATTATATATAAATATTTCAATAAATATTACATTTACATATAAATACTTCTTATTTAAAGGTACAAGCAAGGAATATTCCTTGAATTTCTGATTATAACTTCAAAATTGCATCATCTTATATTACCGTTACATCGTCATACTATTCGACGCCGTCGCATCTGTTATTGTTTTAAAATTCGTGACTTTGTATTTAGGACTTTAGGAGGTCACGAAATAACGTTGCGTCTCCGAGAGCATCTCATTAAGGCTTGGGAGGCTAATGGTGGCGGTGACGTCAGATCTTCTCCACGTGCCATGGAGAAACTTCTCAGGGAAGCTGAAAGGCTTAAGATCGTTCTGTCCGCAAATACAGAGCATTATGCACAGATTGAAAGTCTGTTGGATGATAAGGATTTCAAACACTTGGTAATTTATTTTACTTTTTTTTAAAGAGAAATTTTAAAGTACCTTTTATATTTTATCCTCCTTTTAACATATCCTTTGATTTTTTTTTATAAAACTCAAATTTCAAAATTTGTGTTTTTGTTAATGGTATACCAAGCTGTTCGTTAATATTTTTTATACTAAGAAGGAATCATTAATTTATGTCGTCGTTGCCAGTATTACTTTTATTTTTTCGGACTACTCTAATACTGTATGCTGTTGTAAGATATTCTGGCGAGTGCAGATGGTACTCCAAACCTGCGGAAGGACGTATGGAGCGGCTGAAGGCCAACTCCCGCCTGAAGGATATGTCTTTAGTCTGAGTACACCATTAGGGGTTCGAACCTACGCTCAGATCGTTGTAACTTCGATCCACGTTTGAATTGGACGGGGGATTGAGGGGCGACCGGGGGCACCGGTGTGGAGCGCTCAGGTACGCCTAGGCGCTCGGTTGATTGTGCGGTATGGTGTGGTTGAGGTCGTCGTCTTCGCCGGCGAGGACGGTGTCGTGTGTGTGTGTAAAAGCGTTGTCGGGGACCGAACTGGTGTACCCGTAGGGAGATTAACTGCCGTTATGGGGTCGTTGGGATCGATAAGAAGGTGCATCGAACGGCGTCGTCGCGCATGTTGGAAAATGTCTCCTCGGTGTGTAGTCGATCATACTGAGTCTGTATGGTCGACTACTCACCCGCTAATCTCACCTGAACCCGCTTATAGTAAGTATTACTGACTATAAGCGGGTCGGATGCTGAGCTGTGAACACGTGTGGTGCAGGTGAGCCGCAGCGAGCTGGAGGAGCTGTGTGCAGACTTGTGGGCGCGAGTGGCGAGCGTGGTGCAGCGCGCCGTGTCGGCCGGCGGCGGCGCGGGGGCGGGCGCGCGCCTCGTGCTGGCCGGCGGCGCCGCGCGCGCGCCCGCCGCCCGCGCCGCGCTGCTCGCCGCCGTCGGCCACGAGCCGGCGCGGTCCATCAACGCGGACGAGGCGGCCACCATGGGCGCGGTGTACAGGTGAGGGCGGGGCGGGGCGGGGTGCGGGGGCGGCGCGGGGGCGGGTGCGCGCCTCGTGCTGGCCGGCGGCCACCATGGGCGCGGTGTACAGGTGAGGGCGGGGCGGGGCGGGGTGCGGGGGGGGCGCGGGGGCGGGCGCGCGCCTCGTGCTGGCCGGCGGCGCCGCGCGCGCGCCCGCCGCCCGCGCCGCGCTGCTCGCCGCCGTCGGCCACGAGCCGGCGCGGTCCATCAACGCGGACGAGGCGGCCACCATGGGCGCGGTGTACAGGTGAGGGCGGGGCGGGGCGGGGTGCGGGGGCGGCGCGGGGGCGGGTGCGCGCCTCGTGCTGGCCGGCGGCGCCGCGCGCGCGCCCGCCGCCCGCGCCGCGCTGCTCGCCGCCGTCGGCCACGAGCCGGCGCGGTCCATCAACGCGGACGAGGCGGCCACCATGGGCGCGGTGTACAGGTGAGGGCGGGGCGGGGCGGGGTGCGGGGGGGCGCGGGGCGGGCGCGCGCCTCGTGCTGGCCGGCGGCGCCGCGCGCGCCCGCCGCCCGCGCCGCGCGCGCGCCGTCGGCCACGAGCCGGCGCGGTCCATCAACGCGGACGAGGCGGCCACCATGGGCGCGCGCGCGCGGGGTGCGGGGGGGGCGCGGGGGCGGGCGCGCGCCTCGTGCTGGCCGGCGGCGCCGCGCGCGCGCCCGCCGCCCGCGCCGCGCTGCTCGCCGCCGTCGGCCACGAGCCGGCGCGGTCCATCAACGCGGACGAGGCGGCCACCATGGGCGCGGTGTACAGGTGAGGGCGGGGCGGGGCGGGGTGCGGGGGCGGCGCGGGGGCGGGTGCGCGCCTCGTGCTGGCCGGCGGCGCCGCGCGCGCGCCCGCCGCCCGCGCCGCGCTGCTCGCCGCCGTCGGCCACGAGCCGGCGCGGTCCATCAACGCGGACGAGGCGGCCACCATGGGCGCGGTGTACAGGTGAGGGCGGGGCGGGGCGGGGCGGGGTGCGGGGGCGGCGCGGGGGCGGGCGCGCGCCTCGTGCTGGCCGGCGGTTCGTTGAACTGGACGTTGAGGTCGTCGTCTTCGTTGAGGAGGACGGTGTCGTGTTGGAAACATAGCGTTGCAAATATTACTGTAAGATAATAATTAAATAAAAACCTTTTTATATAAAAAATTAGATTAAAAATTTGAAATGTAACACTCGATGTATTAAAAATTCTTAAAATATTCGATATAGCTACATAAGTATGTCATACTTTTTTTTTATATGGATATTATATATGTATATTATTACCAATATTACAGTCACATAAAATAAAGTACTTATATTTTTTTATCGTCACTTGCAGGGCAGCAGCGTTGGCTACAGGTTACAAGGTGGCACCATTACTAGTACGTGATGCAGTAATACTCCCGGTACAAGTTGTGTTTAACAGGAGCGTCGATGGAAACGAGAAACTGGTGAGTTTTAAACATTAGAAATATCATTCTTAAAAACAACCCTGTATACATACTATGATTACTAATAATTTAGGATATGTTCCTGGTTAGGTTTGATACATTGTAAGTTCATGAGGGAGTCATATTTTTAGAAGTTGACCACAAATGTTTGATATATCTTTGTTTCCAACTTTATTTGTATCTTCAGGGCAGTTTAGTTTGTGCTAATCCCCGGCATGTGTTAATGTTTTTCTAACTCATCAGCAAATATCTATAATAATATTTTTATCTTGTTCTAGGACACGGTAATAAACAATGTTTTAGAATTCTATAAAAGTTTCCTCTGTAGCAAATTTCATTACAATTAAGTTCAATGTTGTATACATTGAACTTAATTGTAAACTTGTAATTTAAGTGCCCACCTGATGACCTAAATTTATGTACTGCGCTACAGACAACTCCGTCATGCCACCATGTCCAGGCCATCATTGTTATGTTATGACTCCGTAATTTCAATTGAACCTGTCATTTCACTACCACATTTCATATAAGCCTTATAACGCAAGGCAAGCTTGCAGCAACAGTAGGTGAGGCACCTCACTCACATCTGTTGATGTAGGTAGGTACATCTGCCTTAACTACTGTTGCCGCTTTACTGTTAAACATTTTGTACAGTCTACTATGGCTTTTTCTTTTATTTAATCTACCTAATGATATTATTAATTTTATTTTTATATGGGAGAGGGTTCAAATGCGACTTGTCTCACTTGATGGTAAGTGATTGCCGTATGGACCATATATCGTAGTCTATATTGTTTAAGAACATTACATTACACAAAGAACTGCTATGTTATCTATCTTTAGTTATAGAATTTGTAAATTGATTTATTAAAATTATAGATAGTATACTAATCAACATGTTATCTTTACAGATCAAGCGAACTCTCTTTGGCCCCATGAATCCTTACCCGCAAAAGAAGGTAATTACTTTTAATAAACATACAAATGACTTCAGCTTCAATGTAAATTATGCTGAATTAGACTACATACCATCAACTGAACTACCTTACATTGGCTCACTGAATTTAAGTCAAGTAGTATTAACTGGCGTTGGTGCGGCCCTATCGAAACACATTGGTGAAAATGTTGAACATAAAGGTATTAAAGCACATTTTAATATGGATGACTCTGGTATACTGAATTTGGTAAATGTTGAATTTGTTGCTGAAAAAACTGTCACGGAAGAAGAAGATAAAGATAGTACTCTGTCTAAGATAGGAAGCACGATTAGTAAGCTGTTCAGTTCTGACTCAGAAACGCCCGAAAAGCTAGAAAAGGCTGAAGAAAGACCCGAGGAATTACCTCAAGAAGGAGAAAAGAATGAAACGGCAAAAGCTAATGAAACAACTACTGAGAAACAAAACGCGACTGAAGCAGAAAAACCGAAACCTAAAATAGTTGTGTTGAAAGAACCCATACAAGCTGAAGAACAGATTTTGAATTTGCAGCCTTTGTCACCAGAACAGTTAAAGACTTCTAAATCGAAAATCAATGAGTTGAACACAATAGACAGGAAGAGGACAGAGAGAGAATCTGCACTTAATAATTTGGAGGCATTTGTGGTGGATGCTCAAATGAAAATGGATATGGAGGAGTATTCTGAGTGTGGTTCTCAAGAAGAAATCGAGGAAATAAGAAAATTATGTAGTGAAGTCTCTGAGTGGTTATATGATGATGGTTATGATGCACCTACGGAACAGTTTGAAGAAAAATTAGCGTTACTTAAGGACAAGACTAATTCTATATTCTACAAACACTGGGAACACAGGGAAAGGCCTGATGCTGTAGCTGCTATAAGAACAATGTTGAATAATTCTCAAGAATTCCTTACAATGGCCAAAAATTTCACTAAAGATGTTAATTCTGAAAAAGATATATTTACTGATGTTGAAATTGAAGTATTACAAAGTAAAATTGTAGAGACAGAAACATGGCTTAACAAATCTATTGCTGAGCAAGACGCCATAAAGAGAAACGAAGATATTAAACTGACTGTCGAAAGCATTAGAGAGAAGATGAAGAATTTGGATAGAGAAGTAAAGTATCTTATCAATAAGATGAAAATATGGCGTCCTAAAAAGCCAGCCAAAAAGGACTCTGATAATAAAACTGAAACAGTTGTAGAGTCAGATGAAAAGACGTCTGAAAAAGCGGAAACCCAAGAGGAATCGCCGGAGAATGCTCCGGAATCAGAGCAAGTGGTAGAAAATGAGAAAAGTGTCGACGAGGAGACAACGGAGACGCCGCAGTTATCTGACGGCAATGATGAACATTCCGAATTATAATAGTTGTGAGCGTACTAGTGAGTTGATTTAATTTATTAGTCTAATTTATTTTTTACTTTAAAACAATTGATTGTTCGTCTTTTTGCGCTAACAGTGACAACGGCCCATATAGTTTACGTTCTAAACAAGAAACTTATTGAAACTGAAATTAGACTTATTATTTGTTTGATTCGGGTATTATTATTGTGACATATAAAGGAATATCACTATTAGTTGAATATAATATGACAAACATAAAAGTAGACATAGTACAAGTAATGGCCAAATTAAACAAATTAATATTGACTTTGTATTTAAAGTATCATATTGGGACACTTCATACTGTGATAGGGTATCATTATTTAAAAAACTACAAACTGAATGACCATTTTATATATAGACTATCTGCATTTAATGTTTGTCTTAGGCTACAGATTACTGCCAAATTGAATTTGAAATATTTCGGATTTCTTATGTTATGTATCTATACGTTTATGTATCTTTTATAGAGGTTATTAGTAAACTACTAATAACCTCTATATAATATTTGAATGGTTCATAATTTAATTAATTTTATATACCCATTTGCAGAATGAAGTTCTTGTTTGTTTACAATCTGGCTTATAATTAGATCTACTCTATAAAACAGATAATGTATTATATATACATTGACTTAATGAAATCTTGCTTGTAAAAGAATTTGCAAATATACACAGTTTTAGGGAATTACTGAAATTCTCTGCATTAAAGAAAAAGATAATTAAGTAAATTAATCTAATTCTCTATATTCCATGAATTCTATATTTCTTACATTCGTCTGATTCTTAACATCATTTGCATCTTGGAGAATTCATTATTTAATTATAAAGGCAGCTCATTGTTTCTTTTAGGTTGTTATTTTTTAGATTCTCACCATTATTTTTCTTCATTACCCAAAATCCAAAGTTCTTTGCTAAATTTATTCAAACATTTATTTTGGCAAATGCACTTTACGCCAAGTCATTAAAGAGAAATAACTATACTATTCTTTGAGTTAACAATTTAAACCATTACCATAAGAGTGAGTCTATAAATTGATGTTAGTTTATTCTGAAATTTTAAATATATTTCTTCGTTTAAAGTGTTTTTTGCCTTTGCTTATTTTAGTAACAACCAGTTGTGAATTTACTGTTGCTTATACGGCTTCTTTGCTGCAAAACTTTTTTTAAGATAGACATAAAAAATCAATTAGAAAGTGGTCACTATTAGACACTACCACAAAATACTAACGGTCATAATTCCCTTAATTGACTGGATTCTGAAAGCTGAGATGGTACGTCTTGAAATTATATGACCAATGATAAAAGACATTTAATATTATTCAAAAACATGGACTGCCAACTAATTCAGAGAGTTGCAGCATTAACCTAAAACTTGTATACCAATATTGTATCATTTAAATTTGATACATTTGTGACATTTTATTTGTAAGTAGATATTGAATTTGAAACGGTTATACTATATAGTGCAAGAAGCGAACACGCTACTTAAATCTCAAACTGCGGTCGCTTCCTTCTGAATTCCATCAACAATTTACGCTAGGTATGTTAATAATTTGTTTATTTTTGTATTGTATTGTTTGAAATGTATTGTCTCAATTTTTTTTTACGGTTTAAGCAGTGGCCCCTTTAATTGGTAATGGACGTGAGAAAGTTATATTTATTATAGTTAATTAATATGTGATATATAAATGGCTATAAGTTCGTTGGAGTATTATGCTGTTTGTGCTACAGATTGTGTACGCAATTTAAGATCAATATTTCTCTACGAGCTCTGTTACTAATGTTTTTTTTATGAACCCTTATATTAAGATTTGGGACGACTCAAGGGTCGGCTACGATTTACCATCAGTGGTTTAAAAAAAACTAATTTAATGTTATATATGCTTATTTATAGTTGTGTTAAAAATACGTTTGTTTTGTATGTTTTGTATATGGGGCTGTTCAAGTATTACGTAAGCAGATTTATCACAATTATTTACCCCCCATCCCCCGTTGTCAGCAAAAGTAAGCAAAGCTCTTACCCCCTCCACCCATGCTTACGTAAACATCTCTCAATTAATGTATTGTTTTTTAGCAAAGACAATGTGAGGGTTGCCATTCGTGTAAAAAAGTAAATTACGACCGATGACGTAATCATCATACAGACTCCCCCACCCCCATGTCATCCAAAATAAGCAAAGAAAAGACCCCCCGCCCCCCTATAGTGCTTACGTAATACTTGAACGGCCCCTATGTTGTAGATAGATCTTTATATATTAATTGAGAACTATTTAAAATAGTAATGAGAAATGTAACGCTTGGACGATTTTGTAGTTTAATGAATACAAAATTTTGTGGTAACATTATATCTTCATATCTAACATTTAACATTGAAATTAGCTTGTAAATTTATTAATATTTTTTAGTACTAATCTATACAGCCATGTTAAGAAAATATGTACATGTTATCTGTTACATGTGCTGTCTAGTTTATCACTAATGATTTTTTTTTCAAATCTTCTATTAATACAATTTCGTCTTCTTAATAATCTTCTCCCAAATGTTATTATTGTCAAAGTACGTACTGAAAAAGTTAAATACTATATTTAAGTGTAATAAACATCTAATTATAGCTTGTACAGCATCTGTAGCACAGCAATGAATTATAACGTCGTAAGTGAGATTTGTTCATACCCAGTCGCAAATCAAAATGAATTATACAATGACAAAAATATTATTGTTGTTTTAATTTTTTTTTACTTAAGGAAATATAATGAAACTCATATATGGTTTTTCTTTATTTATTTAGGGGCTTAGGATCACCATAGTGGGCATGTTAGCTCTGTCATAACTAAAAAAATAAATAAATTAAATACGTTATTTTTATATTTACATCTAAAGATTTTATTTTCTTAAAAAAAAAGCAAATATATCTGATTGTAGCCATAATACTGATGGCAGATGGAACGAGAAAAGAAAAGAAAAAAAATCTACTTCTATATTATATATTACCATTTCATTTAAACCAGCTATGGTATTTCCGAACCGATACGATATTAAAACCTTGAAGAATAGATCTTATTCCTTCTTAAAAGGCTGGCAACGCATTTGCAATTCCCCTGGTGTTACAGGTGCTCATGGGCGGCAGTAATCACTTACCATCAGATGAGTCGCAAGTTCGTTTGTCCCCTATGCTATAAAAAAATGTTTTTCAACAAACTTATAAATTAAAAAAGATTGTTTTGATTGAGATTTCTGTAATATACTTTGTTTATTATATAAATAAAGTTTGTTTAACATTTAATTTTCATTTTCCTTCGTTCAACATTTGAGGGAATGCTTTAAGAATAAGACAAAATTTTGTCATCAGTACAATCATAAATTTGACAATTGGGGGAAACTTCATTTCATAAATTATTTCAATGAAATTAAATATGGGAACATAATCCAAGCGCTATGATGACTACATATTTACGGAATAATAGACTACACAAACCTCCATCAGCTCCCGAAAATAAAAAAACACCTTTATTGCTGGTGGGTGATATTATTATAGCATACGAGCTTGTTGACACACTTGATGTTTAGTGATTACCGCTGCATGTGAGCACTCTCAGCGTAAGGGATTATCTTGTCTGTGATAAGGGGAATTGCAGGAGAAGTAGCTGGACTTTTAAGGGGTGTGTAGAGGAGGGAAATAAGTAAGGGAAAGGAAAAAGAAGAATAAGAGTTCGATACCTCGACTCACCGAAATGTTATAATCCAAGAATACGTATATTAGAGGAATTATAACACTGAACCCGGTATTTTGTAGGGATGTGCTATTTTTTGGTTTGTGTTATGCAACCACGCGTATACAGTGAACTCTACGACTGAAAAGTAAATTACTTATATATGTGGCTATACTACAAAAAATAAAGTATTTAATGGATTTATATCATTTTGTATAATTCAGCTACAATTAGAATGTGTTATTAGAAACCACAAAGATTCAGTGCGGAAACCTGACCACCGCTACTAGAAGCTTTCACGACATTTTATTTAGTTGGTATAGATATTGGCGATCAAATTCCGACCGTTATTGAGTCTACACCCATATTGCGACACGTGTCTCGTCTCTGAACAAGGCGACAGGCAATTAATAGAGTTCGGATATAGCTTGGACCATCTGAATGATGTAGGTAGTTGCAGTTTGGTTCAGCAGCAACTGGACTTCGGCACTAAATATTTGTTGTCTCACACAGGCTATGGACTAATTCGATAAAGTAAGATGATGAGAGAAAAATATGATGTAAGCTCATTTGAAAAAAAGAACTGAATTTCTTTTCAGTTTTTCTTACTTCGATAGCACTCCGATGTGACGATAGATTTGACCTATCGTTAAGTCTGTAATAGTCCACATAACATGTATAAATATATTTTGATTTGATTTGATTTCATACGTATGGCTTACCCAGAGGGGAGCAGACTGGCCGCCCACGCTCCTTACTTAATAATTCTCTGATATATGTTTAGCAATAACTTTTATTTTCCTAATTAATATGATCTCCCATGCTGACTTATGTCAATATTTGCAGGATTGCCCCTCTGGCTCGAATTTTGTTGATGTGAGTGGCTCTGTATTGCAGATATAATGGCGGCTTCAATTCATTTTGTTTAATTAGTCGATTGCGAAATATTCCTTTCGAGGCATTAACAACAACATCTATTTATTTTTAGTTTTTACAGTGTACTCGTGTAAAAATGTAAATTATTACCTTCACTAGCTGTTATCCGCAACTTCGTCTGCAAAAATGACAGTGCAAAAACTGTCATCACGAATTTCATTACTTTTCAGATAACAAAAAGGTCATCGTTATCCCATTTACACATAAAATTTCATTAAGATCTGTCCAGCCGTTTATTTTTGAGCTTATAACAAACAGACAGACATATATCTGGGCACACTTGTGTATGTATAATATTAGTATGGAACATCTATAGAATAGAATAGAAAGTCATTTATTTAAATAAACTTAATATAAGCACTCTTTTAACATCATCACATTTTTTTTAAATTTACCGCTCATTCTGAAAGCTGTATCATCACAAGAAGAATAAGCAAGAAACTTGGTTGTTGCTCTGTTAACACGTAAATTTACACGTTGGGACTTAAATTGAAACAAATCTAGGGGTAAAATAATGTCTACCTCAAATTATTGTACACTAAAAACATTTAAAAATAACACATGTAATTAACAATAAGAAAATGCCGGTCCCTATGTGAGAAATAAGATTTTTCAATGCGATCTTCACCGTGTTCAATAATCGTTGTAACTTTACATTTTTAATTCGAAACGTGTGAATATAAATCTAAGGACGTAGATAAGAGAATAGGTACTGCATGAATAGCATAAACTGTCGAAGTACCCAGTACAATGTATAAGCTCATCGTATTACAGGTAGGATTTCATTCAAAGTCCGTTACAATCATAAACGATACAGTACATTGTTGTTTGTACTGCATATTGCGTGTAGCAAGTTGATGGTAGCTTTATCGTAAATAACAAGTTCCCTTTGAATTGCATGTTTGGCGCAGTCCCCAGAGTGACAGTATGGAAGTTTACAGTCGAAACAGGCTGGGCTTACTCTGCTCTATTAATGCCTTAAAGCCTTCTTTGTCTAACGTATAGTTTGGACTTTGTCTCTAATTGATCACTCACTGGGGGTGTTAGCATTAACTCTTGCAAACCTACACTAATATGTATGTAACAAGTTTATTTTGTTAGGTATATAGAAGATATTAAATTATCATGGTATAATGCATCCGCTTGCGCTAACGGTTTATGCTACTCGAGGATAACATGAACTGGAGATTAGGTCAGTTAGTCCAATTTGGTAAATGGCAATTTACTACGATGGTTGATGATCAGGATGGTCCAGAAACCGCGTGGAGGTTAACCTGATACCTTGCTAGCAATGGGGTATTGGGGCAAATAGCAATTAGTCCAAATTTCTAACAATCCCCTTTCTCCCAGCTAAGCCGTGTTATTGATTTATTCGGTGTAGTTTTGATAACGTTTCAAAAAGACGATAAATTACGATTGGATTGATATAGTTATTGAGTACTTCTAATGAAGTCACCACCCCAGTACACAATTGTGTGATGTGTTAATACTAAGATTAAAGATTCTCAGGAAATACAATTATAATTATAAAAGTTTGTCAATTAGTGTGTTAATAGAGATAAAAATGATAAATAAAGAAAAAGATAAAAGAACAACTGCCAGACTCTGATTCATATAGAATTAGAGTCAACCCATGCTCAAACTGCAATAAAATCCGTTGCGTAGTTTAAAAGATATAAGAGAACACACAGGAGCGACTTTATTTTATACTATGTAAAGATATCCCCTAGGATATCACACTTTGAAGAAAAGGTAGTAGTGATAGAAAAATCAATAGGTTTAGAAATCTATACATATAAATAAAATTGGAGTGTCTGTTTGTAACATTGAAATAACCATTTTTTAATACATGCATTTGAATATAAATACGGTACATAAACCAAAAAAGCATTTTTTTAAATTTTCGTCTGTCTGCCTGTTTATTTGTTCCGGCTAATCTTTGAAATGGCTGAACCGATTTTGATGGGACTTTATTGGCAGGTAGCTGATATAATAAGGAGTAGCTTAGGCTACTTTTATTTTAGAAAAATAAAGTTAAATTCCACGCGGACGAAGTTGCGGTACAGCTAGTAGTTAATATGACTCTATTGTAATGGATACAAGTGCAGCCTCCGTAGTATATACGTATATATAAATGTGTGTGGTTATTTCAAATCGCTTAGGAATGTGCCTCGACGAGATACGCTTAATCTCTGCCCTCTTAGCTACATTACCTTCTCGCTGATTTCTCTATATACATACTTTATACAGATTTTATTTAATACAAGTATAGCCGTTTAGCACACCGCCTCACTACTAATGGTCACGGGTTCGATTCCTTGCACTGTGCAAATATTTGTATGAGATTGGGTATTTTATTTGTAGATATATATTTTTAAAATGGATTGTAATGTAATGCTACACCCGCCGGCGCCAGTGGTTTACGCTGGCGGGGCACCAGTGGAAGATTGTAAGTTGAACATGAGGTCAGATCAGTTAGCCCATCGTGGCAAATTCACCAGGAATTTATTACGATGGTTTCCAGGGGGAACCGTGTGGAGGTCAACCTGACATAAAATTAGTCCAGATTACTATCAATCTCCATCCTCCCATGTAGCTATTTATAAAAAAGTATTTGAGTAGCTTGGGACTACATATCGCTGTGTGATTTGTTCAGGGTTATTATTATTATTAATTTAGTAGCCAGTGAGTCTATATGTATTTCTTTTACATTGATCATTTATTATCACTCCACTGCGAATTCGCTGAAAGCAAACCGTTGGTGTTTATGATATCCCATTACGCGATATCCTTGCCGTAACTATTTTATTGTAAAAAGAACAGAACTAAGAAGAAAGAACATCTATAACGTTGTTTATACATCCAATCGACTATAGGTATTATTTCTATTACAGTCATAGGCAAAGTTGTGATTTGTTTTCGATACCTACTTATTTTGTGGAACAAAATAATATGTGCATATTGTAATCTAAACCTTTGGCTATATATCTATTCGTTTGCTTTCTGGCCTTGGCATATTAATTTTAACTAAATACTATCATACTTAGAATATCTTGACAGGTTCCTAAAGCCCCATTCCCAAGTAACTTGTTTCAAAAGAGCTTTTGTTTTTTCTTGTTCGTATGGAAGAACTCGGCGCCCGCGCCTTGTCCGTACATTGGCGCCTTTCTTTAACCGATAGAGACAGATCGCTGACCAACCGTATGTAAGAAAAAGACAGGCATAGTGGACTACGTCACAGACAGACAAGCTAAATGAATCCAGTTTGCTTGTATAAGCAGGCGAGGTAGACGTACGCGCTGTTAATAATATTTTTCACTAGTGATGTAAACAAAAATGATATTTTTTTAGTGAATTAAGATTGTTATTGACAGAGTGCAGTGAAGAATATGTTTTAAAAGTGCAGTACGGTTGTTACATGAGAGGATTGTGGTGGAAATTTCGAGAGAACGGTAAGAATAACTAAGGATGGATACCCATTCCCTCCCGTTCGTCCCTCTTCAAAGAATGCGATGCACCTCGGCTTTGAACTCGGGCGCACCTTGCGAGTTGCTTTATCGGAAATATTCTCTGGGAATGACACAATTACATATCTGCTTGTTTATTTTGAACGTGTAATGGGTACCTATTATTTTAAATTCTGTAGGCATTTACTTATCCCATGTGTTATGATGTTTTCCTACGCGTTATGCATTACAAAACACAAAATAAATTTATTACAGCAGATCTATGAATAGAATGGATGTTATTTTTTTACGACACAAATATTAATGTTGCTCACCTGTTTATATAAGGCTAGGCGGATACCTTATTATATTATCTGCTACAGGAGAGTTTTAAAAATCTCGTCGCTACGTTCTGGTAGTAGACATGCAAGTATATTCTTTTATAAATTTGTTTTATTATTTTACATTACTTCTTTACATTTGTAGTATTTACATTATATTTAACAAGTTATACTGCTACCTAGACGACAAAAGCTGTGATTTGAATCTAACCGGCAGGCACCAAAACAATTGTTTTGATTTTCGACTGACTCACCTATGTAAAAATTGTAGATAAACTAAATCCGAAATGTAGCGAAATATATTGATCACATTTCTCCCTAATTACAATTAGAATAAAGGAGCCTATTATTAATTAGTATATAATTGTAATTATTATAGATTTAATAATAAATTAATATTAAGTGGGAAGAAATTGTTAATAATGTAGACTAATGAGCCTATTACTATCAACTTACCATGTCAGGTTGACCTCCATGCTGTTCCCTTTGGAAACCATCGTTATAAATTACTGGTGAATTTGCCGTGATGGGCTAACTGGTCTGATCTCATTTTTTTTATGAATGATAATGGAATGGTGCACCCGCCTGCGCTTTACGCTGGCGGGGCGCCAGTGGAGGGTGATAAGATGAGCATGAGGTCAGGTCAGTTAGCCCATCGTCACAAATTCACCAAGAATTTACCACGATGGTTTCCAGGGGGAACCGCGTGGAGGTCAACCTGTTATGGTACATGCTAGCAATAAGATCATCAGTCCACATTACTAACAATCCCCTTTCCCCCTCCTGATCTTATATTCATCTTATCATCCTTCACTGGTGCCTCGCCAATTGTCGTTTCTTTCTTATACCACCTCACAGATCTAGTTTCATATTGGTATTACTTTCGTTTACTATAATTTCACAACTCTGGAACGTACTGCCTGAAGCCATACGAGATATTCCTAATGAATATTTACAAAAGAAAAATATTTTTTTATGAATACTTTTAAATTTAAGTCATTATTCACCATCTTAATTTATATACATATATTTGGATTTATTTACATATATGCCTATTAGTTATAAATTATACCAGTACCTATAATAATTTGTATGTACGAATTGTAGTTGTTTATCTTTCCTTGTTGTATTAAATATGTCTTTATTTATTACCTTTACATATTTGTTGAATTAATGATTTATTACTTTATTATTATTTCTGTGTCTGTTCTATTAATTTATTACAGTCTGTCCATTTCGTACTTTTGCAGGACGAAACGAATCTACGGATTTTAATTGAATTGCTGGATTTCAAATCATCGAAAATATTTTTTTATGTAGGACATTTTAGCTGCTTGTGGACGTAAATATTTTTGTATTATAATATTTGTTGTCTATAGTCCAGTTTAGTATACATACAGATTCAGTTATTAAAAACTGGCAAGAAATTCGATTGAATTTTCTTTTTTTTTAAAGTCAGTTTTCATTATCTGATTATATGTCTGGTGTCTATGTCTCACACTAAATTAAAATTCAGTTTTTGAACAATTATAATCCTGCACATTTGTCACTTAAATAATCGTAAGATAAGAAATAATATCAAGATAGACTATATTCCGGATATACTATATGCCGGATATAGGTTATATTTTATCCCAAAATATAGTCTGCAAGGGGTGAATGGTGGCGATGTCGAGGGTAATAGCTAGTGAAATGAATGAACGATTAATTTGCAGGCAAACACGGTAAATAGTTACTTACATAATCGTGATGCGACAGAATCCGTGCAAAAAGTTTATAAAATAATTTATTAATTCATAATTTAAAAGCTAAGCTCTTGTCTATGAAGTTCTTGCCATATCTTCTATGCTCTAAAAAAATTAAATAAACATTGAATATTATTAAAAAACTAGAGGTCGTGTGTGCGGGCCTCGAGAGGCTCTTGAGTTGTCGTCGCTATTGCTATTGCTATTATATACAAGGTGTTATTGCGAGCGGGAACACAACTACTATTTTAATAAAAACCAAATACTAGTAAAAATTAGTGTTCCAAAGCAGCCGCCAAAAGGGCTCACAGCGAAGGAAAGTCACAAAACAATATATTAGATAGTCAAAAGTGACGTATAAAAAATAGATATCAAAAATATAAAGTTTATAGAAAGAATGGTAGACAAGCTGCCAGTAACACGAAGTATTCTTTTCGAATAGTCTTGATTGTCAAAAACTTGCTTGTTTGTTTTGATACGAAACCATTTAGGTCAAATCCTACTGTAAGAGTCAAAAGACGAAATCTAATATTTTTGTCAGTTGTCAGTACTCCCTTGCAGTTCCCTTGTTGGGTACATGATAATTTTATTGTCATTGTTTTTTTTGTAGAACGAAATCTTAGGTTATAAATAGAATGAGACTCATCGGACCATAGTTGGATTGTTTAATTGCTGGATGACGTAATAATTTATAGCATTCTGATCATCAATCAATGGCACTCTGCAAACATCCCGCGTTTAGTCTGCGAAGCGAGCGACATATTAGGCAGTAGACAACGCATATACCCAGAGAACAGAAGTTATTTCTCTGATCTGTGCAGTTATACTTACTCTACTCTTTTTGTAATAGTTATGTGTATGCATATGTATATGTTATATGAATATGTCAATAACAATGATTGTCAATAAATGTTTTTCTTACTTTATTTCTTTTTTTTTCTACTCTGTACGCTTGTATGTCACAAATACATATATAATACGATAACAGTATGCCATATATGTATTATATTTTTAACAAGTAAACAATCTAAATTATCATTTAGATTATTTACTTAGTTTTATTATAGAGGAAAGATTAAATTTTTGGTAGTGAATAACTAAAAAATAAACACTAAATCGATATTAATAATTATTATACCCATGTATATAAAAGCGAGAAAAATGTGCAAACATTGTTATAGGTGCATATCTCCTCCATAAAAAACGTGCTACTAGATATTCAAAAGTATGGTCATAAACAAATTGTTGGGTCCGTATATGTATTTGCATCTCCTAAACCAAGAACTTTTAATCCGTATCATTTTGATACGAATTTACATCATTTAGATATTGTTTTACGGAAGGCTTGCTATACCCTCATCAGAATAACTAAAATTACATAATGAATAATTTCACTGCCATAGCTCAGCTTCAAACCCAGACACAGCTTGCAAAGCCAGCTGCTATAAAGCCAACTTTCTACAAATCAGGTATGATTTGTAGAAAGTTATTTAAATTACTTAAAGTAACGTTAAAGTATATATCTTGTTCAACCCGGGAGTTGAAACAGTCCGCTATGTAATCAGCATACTTATGTTTCAACAAGTTATAAGAACTTGGAAGCCGCGTTATTGATAAAACATTCTCATCCTTGAACATTCTTAATTCTTTTCTGAAGCAAACTCCAAACATTTTAATACATCCTAACATTGAATTGATAGCAACATTACAACAATATAAAAAATGAGAGAGAAATTTTGTTCCTTACCACTTTTTTTTAACTTAGAGAAAATATACTACGTAGTCATGTCTTCTGAAATAACCTTTTTTGTTATTAACATTCTAATCATGGTGTTTATAAAACAAAAGCATTCGCACATTTCGCTATACTTTTTGAATAACATTTTAAATTAAAAAAATCTCTAAATTCAATAAATCATCAGCAAATCAAAGTTATTTTAATTGATTTTTGTAATTATAATTATTTTAAAAATATTTGATTTCTTCGATTTGTTTGTATCCCGAATAGCAGACTATTAAAATATCGGACAAATAATGTAAAATTATTTTGAACTAAATAATTTTAACCTTAAGATGACACAAAGTTCTTCTGGCTATTCATTAAATAATTATTACTTAGAATTATCTCGGTCTAACATATAATAATAATCAATTCATTTTTTGTACAATTAATTACTAATTGAGGCTGTAACATTTGTGTGTGTGGGAATCCTCGTGTTACAGATGTTATTTCCTTCCACAATCTGTACCCACGTGACCATGTAAAACAATTCCCACGTGGATGAACTCGCGGGCCATTTAGTGTATTGTAAACAATTGTTACCCGTACCTATGTAGAGTAAATGTACCAATTTTATCTGCCGTAGTAGGGTCCCTGTGCTATGTTTTAATTTAGCAATCGCTGCAGGCAATTTCCCAACGTTAGATATTGTCATTACCTCGCAAGTATATTTCTTACATCGAGTAAAGTATTTTAAATAACATCGTCTTGTTACATGCAGAGTAGGGCTACCAACTATTAAGATGTCATCGGGATGTCCCGATTTCAGACTCCTTTGTCCCGACTAAGGGACTGGCAGTTTGCCAAATGTCTTGGTTTTCAAGAAATACATGATATTATTTTTTGTATATTTGTTGCTGGCCACATTCACATTGCAACGCGTGTCACATGGCTGGCCGAAAATACTGAGTAGGTAGAACCTAACTTGAGAAGCATAAAAGCGAATTACAAAACCAAGAGAAAAACTTTATATATGTATATGATTATTATTCTGTACTTATCTGTTCTTGTATCTATTATTTGATCAACACAGCCTTATTTGAACAACACGACAGTAGACTGGTAGAATATGGCCATCAGATATTAAGTCTAAATGTATAAATTTTTTTGAGCAAAAGAATACATAAATATAATAATAAT